AAAGTTTACAAGTTTACTTTTGTGGTAAACAAAAATTTATTCGATTTTATATAATAATAACTTAAAATGTATTTCTCTGTATTCGTGTATCCGTATATTATTACATCTGTGTACAAGTGAGCAACACCGATCAATTGTTTTGGAATAATTATATTCAGAAAAATTGTATGTAGATTACAATTGAAATTTTCCATCCAACCACTTCAAATTTTTCCAAAGTTCTGAACTCTCGTCTTCTATATTTTTCCACACGATTGAAGTCATGATGGAAGTATTTCTCCTTTTTTCAAGAAAGGAACGTTGTGCACACGCAAGTTTATATATATATCCATTAAACCATGAACATTGCATTATTCGCAACGAGTTAAAATTCTAGGGCGGAAACGCGTCGTAATTAAATCCACCCGGAAGATGAGGTGGTAAAGATAGTGGGTAGTTTCGCACGAATGAAATCCCTTTTGTCCCGACAACAAAATTCTTCCACGCAATAAAATCTGACTGCATTAAACCGGCATATTTAGTTATGTTGGACGATTAACCGATAACGCCATGAAGGGAAACGACGTTTAATGGGACGGCAAAGGAATTTTAGTTTGGCAAAAAACGAAGTTAATTTGTCTTTGGAGGTGTTTTAGCAATTAGCAGGATTGCAATTTCAAGCGTTAAGATTCCTCTTGGTGACAAAATGTTTGTCGACGTTTTAATCTTATAATTATTTCGACACGACAATTGATAATATCGGTGTTCGATTTTAATTTTTAAAAACAACGTTGTTTATTTGTATTATAACGAACGCTGTTTATAATTTAGATTTAATTTTGAGAATGATTTTACGGAGAATTTGGAATCGGTGGTGGTTATTCTCTGAATAAATGATGAATCCTGTTTCATTATTACAGTGAGTGTTAATTTTTCAGGAATAGCTGCGAGAGTTGGTGAAAAATTTCTATGGATATCGTAAAATGAAAATTAATTATTTTTAACGGTATAATCAATGGTGATTTTCATTCTGTGAAAAGAATGTCTGTCTCTCTCTTTCTCTCTCGTTTATACACAAATTGTTCGTCGAACGAATTTTTGATCAATCTAGTTTTTCGATTAATTC